CACATTTTACACTGTAACCCAGGACAATCGCTGATCCACCAAAGATTACAGATAAGATGGAGTAACATCCCACTTTTCCAAGAATAAGAAAACTGTAGTGTGATATTTGGGGTTTGTTTTGGTTTTACTTGTTTCAGCTTACGTGCTGAAATGAGATACATGTCTTCAGTACTTTGCAGGACAGCATACAGTTCAGAGTGATGAGACTTCAGAGGTACCTTATTTCATGTTCTTGTTAGTTCCCTTAGTGTTTGACTATGTTGCAGCTTACCTGTTCATGAGGATGTTACCTTCGCATCCTGTTCTCAAAGCTGGAGAAGCAAGTGCATACTAGTAATAAGGGAAGGATCCTTACCTGCTTGATAACAGTCTCTGGCTGTCTTAATTAACAGCTAAGGGTTTTTGAGGGGTAGGGCTTCTGAATGTTCTAGTCAGGGAAAGAAACTTAACTTTGTGTGCTTGATGTTGATATTTTGACAGTTTTATTGGGAGTTTATGGGGAAGCTTCTATCTGTTTTAAGGGTAGCAGAGTGGGTGAAATCAGCTTCTGAGGCCCCACCTTCCCATCTTTGCCAGAGGGGTATGGTACAGGCAACAAAACGCTCACGTCAGGGAATTTGGCACCATTTAGCCAATTGATATAAGCTGTTTGTAACTGATACTGGTAATGACAAAGACACGCCTCAGCTTCCTTCTGGGCACCTCTGCTCCCCCCCCTTGCTGGTCTCCCGTCCCCTCACTGCACATCACAGTCGGTCCCTTGGGTGAGGCAATGGCGACACAGGAGACTGAGGCTGGTGTGTAGTGGTTACTTTGCTTTTGCTCTTCCTTGCTTCTTACTCAGCAGCTCAGGCGTGGGCTTCTCCACAGGCTGCAGTCCCTTCTGTCCCTTCTCTGCCACTACTCGGGCAACTCCTCTGGGCTGGAGCCTGCCTCAGGTGACTCCTTGTGTGCCTCCTCTTTCCAGCATCCCTCCTGCCCTGGCATCTCTTTTGCCTCAGTGTCCCTCATGCCTTGCACAGGCCTTGTGTCTGTGCGCCGGCATCCCCCTCCTGCAGCATCTCTCCAGCTTTCGTGGGCAGCTGCTCTTCTCCTCTGTGGCTCTTTCCCATCTCTGTGTTGGCGGGGGCCCACACGCTCTGCCGGCTGCAGTTTGGTGTGTGTGTGAGGGTGGGTCCGTTTGTCCGGTGCCGAGCCAGCAGGGACGGTTTGTGGCCGGCTCGGGCAGCCCCAGAGAGGTTCCACACAGGCTGCTGCACCTGCCAGCTGTTTTCCCCACGCAGTGTCTGAGAGAAGATCAGTGCGGGCAGCCAGCGATCTCAGACATGAGGAGAAGTAGTTGGTTATGAAGACTGAGAGGAAACGTTAGGTATACTGACAAGTGAAGACACTATTTTTCCAACAATATTTTAAAGTAGAATAGTATGTTACTGCCTATTAGTATGTTGCAGTATTCAGTATACATTGGTGAATGGACAGACTTTCTAGCTGAGGTCTTTGAGATGAATTAATGTGTCTTAAGATATTCCTTGATCTTTGTACTTGATCTACATACAATTATTTGATGTTTAGAAAAGATGCATAGAGTTAAGTGAAGCACAGTTAGTGGACAGTAGCAGGGAAGAGAGTTTAGTTGTCAGAGCCTAAAAATTCAGGGTGAGGAGAGAATTTTGTGTTTGGCCACAGAGCGGGAAAGGTCAGAGGGCAGTGGGTAATCACATGGAGATGTTGGCAAAATTGAGCTTTAATTCTGGACACAACAACTAACGTGACAGACTTGTCAGCTATTCATATAGAGGGATTCACTTCAAGTATTTTTTCTTTTTTTCTGTCCTTTTACTGGGCATATTTTTATCTTGGTAAGTCCTTCTGAGAGCCACGTTTTCTGTTTAACTGCCAGAACTGGCTGGAATGTTCTGAAAGCGGTATTTATACTTTGCAGATGTTGCTTGTAACTGCTGGTAAGGGAGGTGGAGGGCAGAAGGGAGTTTGTGGCTTGGGCTTAAATCCAAAACCACTTCCTCAGTGGGGGAAAAATTAAAGAGTCGGGGCTGTTCTGCCAGATTTGTTTGAAGGATCTATAATATTTAAGAATAAGAGTGCTATCCACAATGTAATGGAATAAAAAAAGAGTAAATTTGGCTTTAGCTTCTCTCTTTCTGTGTGTTTAACTTTAATTCTTTAGCCTTCATTATAGTTTTTTTTCTACTCACGTTTTCAGGAAGTTGGCTCACTTAGGATTGATATCTCATTTAAAAATGCACTTCTTGGCAGTAGCATCATGAGTTGTATTTGACCAAAACAAATTTTTTTAAATTATACATAGAGAAAACCTTGCATTGCAGTATTTATAGTGTGAAAATAAGTTTTTTGTAGCATTAAAGCTTGAAAGTTTGATAATGTAAATGCAATTTAAACTGAAAAGTATGGAAATTAATGAAATAAGATGTATATTTTAACATTCTTGTAGTTCTAATAAGGGGGTTCTTTAGCGTGATCTTTCTTCAGTAATGTACAGGTGGCAGAACACCTCTCAGTATTGTTACTCTGTAGTTCAGGAAGATATTTAGATCTCATTTTTGATGTTTTTATATTGAAGTCCCATCCAGCTGTTAACACTCCTATCAAAGAAACTGTCCAAGAAAGCAGTCAGGAGCCTGCTGAGGGGAGCGAAGAAAAAGCAGGAGCCAAAAGAAGAAAGTCTTCTGTCCCAAAAGTGAGTGACTGAATTTGTGTTTTGTTCTAGCAGAAATATTTTCTAAGTCAAAACCATATTGCCAAGTTTTTACTTAAATACTTTAAAATAACACTGTTTTACTGTTGTAACTGCCTTGCCTTTGCTTCTTTTCAGCTGTACATACAGTAATGGTTTTGTCCTTCTGTATTCCTTTTAAGGTGCTGTACATGTTTTTGAATATTAATTTCTTTACCAGCCTATATTTCTGAATCATAAGTTTAAACTAAATTAATATAGCACTTCCTAGGCAGGAGAAAGTGGATATGATCACCAAGATTTAGCTTTAAGCTTCCCTTTCTGGTTTTGAAGACTTCAGTATCATAGGACAGGTACGGCTGTCATTCAATTATGACAGTTCTTGTTGAAAAACCTAGCAGAGCATTAGGTTCTGTCTGGGCTGAAAGGGTTCCTCAGTGTATTTGCCTGAACAGATTATAAGAATCAGTTTGAATTAGGCCACGCTCCTAATGGACTAATTGGGATATAAATGGATATAAAGGATTTCATAACTGTATCAGTTGAATTCTGAGTCAGGAAAGTATCAGTGAGTGATCAGCATACAGTAGTTTATATAGACAAGAGTTTAGCTTCTTTGCTTTGTAAATGTGTGCATAGGTAGAATCGTTGCAAAACAGGATAATGTTCTCTTTAATAGTTTGTACTGTAAGAGATGAGGCTTCCTAGCTTATGCTACACTTAATGATACTAGTGTAGCACACCACGTTGGACTGTCTCTGTCTTGGAATGTTTTGTTTTGTTCATGTGGGGTTATTTTTTGAATGGCATAGAAGAGATGTTGTGTGTCATCTCATTTTTTTTTTAAGGATAATAGAATCCTGAAATGACAAAGATTGTGATGCAGATGGGATTGATATGTTTATGGTATCTCATTTATTTCTAACTCATTTCTGGAAATTACTACTCCGATAAGGATAAGCTGTGCCCTTAAATTAAGTGTCAGACTATTTTGAATAATTTGCCTTAATTCTGACTGTTTTCCTTTTGATTATCTGCCAAGATTTAATGTAGTTTTTCTGTAGGTTTAGCTGGCTGTCCTTTAGTATTGATTCACAGTTGCAACTGAAGAATTTGCAATGTGTCAAATGCATAGTGGATGTTCCTTATGTAGGATTACTGTCTAGTAGCTGTAATAGCTTGTTTTTTTTCAAGAGGAAAAAAGACCTTTGACTGGAGAGAAAAGAAAAAATTAGTGTACTGGTAGTACATTGGTGGATGATGTTGATGAGTTGGAGACTGTGGAGTCATTGGTGGGTTATTTCTCCCAATTTATAACTGCTTAGTGTTCCTTAATTAAGACTTCTACATGTGGAAGATCACTGTGATTTGGGTTCTCTATGTAATTTCCTGGTAGTAGTAGTAAACCAGTGCTGTTCTTCCTTCTTGCCCATGCACACTGTTGGTAAAACAATTTGTTCCTCAGCATTTGCTACTGCAAGGGGAAAACTTCTCTTACACTGGACTGATTCATCAGTTTGCTTCACTGTGAATTTACACAGTGAGCAGCAGCATGTATTAGTGGGGATGGCAATGACTTAAGTGTCATGTCTCCTGAAAAGAGCTTTCACGCTGTCCTGAGCTGGCACTGTGAAAGAGAAACAGGAAGACATAAGAGCCATTTAAACACAGAGATGGAATGGAAGGATCCTGAACAGATCCTTTTACGTAGCTTTCTGTAATTAGTCTCAACCAGTTAATTAGTTTAGGGCACAATATGGAGTAAATTTACTCCTTTTCTTCTGATATTAATGTAGCTATAACATTCTTCTAACAGGTCATTGTACTCTGGTTTCCTGTGGTTTTAGTGTACCAGCGATTCTTCTGTCTTAAAGTTGTAATCTGTAAAAAGACTCAGTGATATTACATGTCTTCAAGTAATTAGGACTATTGCATGGTAGCCTTGTGCCTGACTTGCTTTGTTCAATGTTGAAATTTTAACACCTGTAGCTACTTTGAAAGGGAATTTCACAAAAGGTGCTTACAAGTGGGACAAGGTGATAGCATTAGAGTGAATGATCTGAAAAACATGCACATACATAGGCTGCAAGGAAATGTTGTGTTTTTTTTTCCCCCAGGAAGTTATTACAAACTCTTGATTTGTCAAGTCTTGACTGATCATGTAAAACAAAAACTAGTATTTTAAGGCTTTAAAAAACCCCAACAGAACAGGAAAAAAGGCATATATTAGATGACAGCAATTATCACAAAGTGCTCTCACACATGATAAAACAAATTGTATGTAGTCTGTGTACTACACTTAAGTCTTTGTTTAGTAGAATGATACTCTTTGCTAAATGTGGTCTGTGACTCGGATATCCATCTGTTCGTAATAGATAAACAGTGATCCAAATGAATCTTGAATGCTGGCATGAACACTTGGAAGTACTCTTGTAACGTGGTGAAAAAGTGTAGTTATGTTGTCATTAACACAAAGTGGAATTTAATTTCCACTGTTGAACACTGCTATATTTTGACCTGTTCTGACCACTGTCTGCAATTGTCCGCTGGAGAAAAGCGGACCTGCCCTAGGCTTTTAATGTGTACCTAAGAAAGGAATGTATCTGCAGATTTAAACTATTTAAAGTGAAAAGCAGCCTGAGGGTGGTGAGATGCTGGAACAGGTTGCCTAAGGGAGCATCTGTGGCAGTGTTGCAAGACCAGGTTGGATGGAGCCTTGAGCAAGTTGGTCTAGTGGGAGGTGTCCCTGCCATGGCAAGGGGGTTGGAACTAGATGGTCTTTGAGGTCCCTTCCAACTCAAACCATTCTATGGTTCTGTGATTCTATGAAATACTTTTTAATGCAATTTTTTACTCTTGTGTTGACTCCCTTTGCAGTTATCCCCTAAAGGGGATAATTTACCTACAGAAGCTGAAACAGAAGAAAAAGAGATGGATACCTCAAAGGAAGATGATCTGCCTTCTGAAAAAAACAGTAAAGTATGTGAAAGCTTTTTCTATGTACCAAAGAACATCTTAATACTATATTGATTGATGTAAATCTATTACTGAGTACTAAGAAGCTACAGTTATTACTACTGTGACAGTCTCAGGAGCTGTCTAATTATATAAAACTCCCTTGTGTTAACTCATATTTATACCTCTCATTGAAGCTAACAGGAATTGAAGCTTTCATCGGAGAGGGAGCTCTTAGTCTGGCTTGTCTATAAGTTCAATTAAAACAGGTAGAACAGTAGGTTTTTTCCACTTACTCTGTATTGCAAGTGTACATTTCTAAAGGACTAGATAAAGAGTTCAGACAGACTAAAACATCACTGCATACCTTTATTTGAAATAGAATATTATTTAGTACTTAATTCTTATCTTTCAGAAAGAAATTCTGATCACCAGTTATTCAGATTTTAATAGTTTAAAAGCAGGACTTGTCTTCGCATATATTATGGGAATCTTATCTAAATTATATGCCAGAGGCTTCAGTTGTGGGGAAAAAACTTAGAATAATTTAAAATACATCTTTGTTTTGTTAAGGCTTTTAGAGCTATTTTAATCTTCACAGGATGTGGTGAAAACAAGTGATGCTTGTATTCCTAAAGTTGCTAGAAGAGGAAGAAAAAGAAAGGTAACAATATGTTTAATTACTTCACCTTACTGGAAGTTTTGGATGTGATCATACTATGTATTATTTTCTTTAATGACAGATCATGCATATGTTTGTGCTTGACGCCCTCCTCCCCCCTTTCAAATGGCTGAAAGATTTGTAGGAATGAAAGTTTTCCTAGAGAGTGTCTTAGAAGTCTTAATTCTGTTTGAACTCAGTGTAGAGTAGGGAGTTCCCATCTTTTCCCAAACAGTCCATTGCAAGTAAGAAACTAAAATACAAACTGTTGCTAGACTGATAAAATAGTCTGTTTTGGAGCTCTGAAAAATGTAACATCTTCATCACACTGAAATAATACCTGAAATACTTCTGCTTTTCATGAGGTTGTGATTTTGTGGTTTCTTCAACCTGAGAAAAACTGGAGTTACTTTGAAAGAGGCAGTTCCAGCTGTTGGCTCAGCATGCTCCAGCCTTAATATTCATGGGGTATACAGCAAGCCAGATCAGGGCACTGACCCATCTGAAAACTAGATTAAAGTGGGGCGAAGTTTAATTTTAATTTGCGACCATTTAACTTGTAAGACAAGTGGTGACAGCAGGGATGGGATGAGTGCGAAGTAACTGTGACCCTGTGAATATGGTTGTCACAGGTAAGTAGCATGCTGAGTATCATTTGCTTCATGAAAAAGGAAGATACATGTTTGGATGCTCTTATAAAACCAACTTGAATATTTAACAAATACAATTTAAAGAATACCTTTTAAAAAAAAATTTTGTAAAAATCTAAAAGAAATTCAAAGCAAGCT